TAATCATTTGAGTACCACCCTTTAAAATCTATTGACATTCATAGGTTACCATATATGGTTATTATTTGAATACTGAAAATATTAATACCATATACTATATGGTAATCATTTATTGCAGCTTTCTTATAAGGAAATGTGTTAATTTTATGTCCATGACATAATTACAAAATTACATTAAAAATTGTATCTGTGAAAAAATACAGGAAATTAAAAAATATTCCTGTGTGACTTTTTTTATCTCTAAATAATTTATTGATTGTAATTTAAAAATATAAATCTGAAAGTGTTTTCAAAATGCATGGTGTTTGAGGTCAAAGGTCAGTGAGAATTGCATCTTGTACTTCTACTGTGGAGTTTTAATGTTGTTTTTAGTGAAATTATGTAGACTTGTGTTATTGCCTTTTCACCACCAGTCCCTCTTTTAAACAAAATAGTCATTTGTTTATAATCTGCACTTTCCTTCAGAGATTAGTGCAAAAATAGCCAATTTTTTTGAGATAAAACTAAAAATTAACTCAAATTTTGGCTGTTGGTTCCAAATTAAGGGGTCATTTCTAGAAATATTGAAGAATACAAGAAAAAATGTACGGAAAAATTTAGTCGATAGTCTGGTGGTAAAAAGGCTAATGAATCTCAGTGGCTCTATCTTCTACAAGTATGCGTTTCCTGGCAACTGTTTCTGTGAAACACAAATAATTTGCCTTGTGAAAGTCTAGGGTTTCTGTCTTAATTACAATTTGGTTTAGATGAGTTTTATGCTATATAGTTTCTATTTTTCTCTCTTCTTTATACATGTACACCAGTTCTCCCTCCCCTTTTCATTCTGCGTTTTCCGTCTCATTTCTCACAATCTATTTGTTGTACCTATTTTTTCATCCAAAATTCATATGAAAAACTAAAGATGCAGTTAATATTTTACAAAATAATATGTAAATTGAAAACAAAGTGAGATATTATGGCTCAGTTTAATTTTCCAGTAAACAAACTGTGCTGTACAGATTAGTATTTAATTATTAATATATACTACAGTATCAAAATATTATAAATATCATCTTGTTGCCATGGTAACATGTCTGTCGGCAAAGAATGCTAGAGTTCTCTCATTGGGTTCTTTGTATTTTCTCTATTAGTAGTGCATGTACTTACATAAATGACACAGGTGTATATGATCAAAACAAATCAAATTACAATAATCCAGTGCACAATCACTTTTGATTTATGTTCTCATCTGTATTTTGGGGATGCGCTTCTAATAGAACAAATACAGTATATTTCACTATACCAACACTGTCCATTATAGACCCATACTCTACTGGACTGACATCCAACCAGTGCATCCTTAGCGATTCCTGTTGTCATGGTTATAGTGTAATTCATCCTATTAGGTAATATGCTTATTGTATAACTCTCAACTCTTTGTGAAGTTTTATTTATATGCTATTTATTGTTGTCTGCCTTGTATCTGTGTTGTGTACACTAACTGAAAATAAAACATAACAAGAATTGTCGTTATCGTAATTCAGATACAATGAACATGACCTGAGTATGTCAGTTATACTCAGTGCGCCCTCTAAGTCATGTCAGTTATTTAGTGGTTAACAGTGCGCCCTCTAAGTCCCAACCGAGTATGTCAGTTATTAAGTGGTTATCAGTGCGCCCTCTAAGCCGATATGACGTGTTATTAACGCATGAAAATTTGTTGTGAAGCAACTACAGTTGTAATTCTGCTAATTCACTAGTGTCATAGCAACAGAAAAATCATACATTTGTGAAATGTTTTTCAAGAAAACAAAACTATAGTTATGTAATTTGGTAAATTGATATTTAAAATTGTTTTGTTTGTTCTGCAATTTACCTATACTGTCAAATTTTTTCTTAAGAGTGTTGTATTTTGACTTGTGAATCCCCACATCTGTCCTGTAAAATTCCTAACTTTGTATGAACATTGTTTTGTTGTATGATTTGTTTCAAAATGTCCGATTGATGGCCATGTTGGTTTTATTTTTATATCGTATTTTGCAGACATACCTAAACATATTTTGTTCAAAGTTCTTAAAAAAAAAAAGACAACATACATGTACAATTCAGGGGTACCAATGAAAGTGTAGCTTTTTAATGAAAATCACAGCTTTGACACCGTGCAGCATAGCTTGGTCAGGAAAAGCTTAGCTGCAGGAATGAAATCCGCTAGTTTTGACATCGAGAACTCAAGCTTTGAACAAATTTTGATGTTGAGGGCGTACACAACATGGCTGCCTCCAAAAGCAGTCTTAGCAACGGTAAGTATTTTACTCGTTTTCTAAACAAAATCACCAAGTTATGCTGTGTAATATGCCGCAATCAGTGAAGTTCAGGTTCAATTTCATTTCTAGAAAGTTTCAGCCACCATTTTACGAAACTTGCAGAGAAATCTGAATTCCAAATTTCGAAGCGAAAATCCTATTCTTATACATGTAAATTGGATTTATAGTTGCAAGGATGACGTCACTATTTGAATATAATCTTCATAGGCAGTGATGTAATGTCTAATGACGTCACATGAAATAGTACGTCAGTGATCAACTACCTGTAATAGAAGATAAACCATTTAATGTCGTCACAATCACAACACAGCCTTCATTGG